AGAATGAGACATGCTATAGTTCCCATAACGTAATTTTAGGTTGTCCAAATAGTTTTTATAGGGCCAAGATTTTAAATGTAATATATGATGTTTGCTATTAAGTTAAAGCCTTTTATAAGAGTAAAAGTTTAGCTTGGTATTGTTTAACTTTTTCCCCTAAAATATTTTGAGCACAAGCTAAAACCTGGCAGAGTTGCTCAGTATGATCCAAGTAGTATGAATTTTGTATGCGTTATTTCACATTTATAAGTAGAAATAAGCAAATACTTGATTAAATGCAATGCACGGACTGCTCAGATGAGCCTGCTCGTGTCCAGCAACCCTAGAAAAATGAAGTACAGAGAGGGAAAACTTCACTTGTCTTTGTTCTAGGTAGGTCAGACAGCTGCAACTGCTGGGCTGGAATTTAACCTTGGCAAACTAGCATTTGGTCAAGGAAAGTGCTTGATAAAGAGAAACTGAGAATAGTGCAGGATAGCCATCTCTATAGCTCTGTGTTGTGTGTCAACAGCTGGTGAGTATGCAGATGTCAGTGGTACACTTAGTCTTGTAATCATCCTTGACAAGATGAAATATGGTCTTCGTATTCCAAGAACATATGGTATTATTGAGCAAGAAAATAGTGTGAACAAGGGCAATTATGGCAATAACTATCCATGGCAAAGACTTCACTGAGTCATCCAAGCATAACCTAGAGAGAATGAATATTTTAAAGGTAAACATGGTGTTAGCCAATGCCAAAATTATCTAATCTATTATTCTGTCATGAATGATAAAAGTTTAATAAAAAATAAACCCTCCATTTCACACAATAGTGAAAGTGTTCTTCTACATATTCATTGCTATGTGATTTGAATTTTTACAAAGGGAGAAAGGTTTCTTGATAATAGCTATTGAGTGTTGATGAAACAGCCTTCTCATCTAAATTTCAATCTTTAATTTTTCAGCATATAATTGCTCTGGTAATTCCTCATCACACAACTTCCCTCCACTTTAACTTCCCATCACCACAGCCCCATGTCCACACAGCTATGAGAGGCAGAGGAGGCTATGGGCAGCCTGCTAATTGTAATAGAACTAGCTTTAACCTTGAAAACATGATCACAGTGGGATGATAGAGATGGCTTTGAGAGGCAACATTTCTGTGTGCATGTTGTCATTTTAAAATAAAAGTGAAGTAGGCAAGAATGTAACATGGAAAGGGATGGGGTGGCGGGGGAGAGGGAAATAATTCTTGTGAATTTACTCTCCCTCAAAGGGATTGAAGTGTCCTGCCTATTGGGGGACTCTGATGTCATGGGAGTCATTCCCTGCTCTTGCTGAACATGGAGCAGGATGGCCCAAGATCCCCGATTCATGCATGGATCTTCCTTGGCTTTGACACACATGGAGAGGACTTCTATATATTTAAAATAGACTGAGGAATCTGTGTCCTTACACTGCGACTAACAGGTACTCTCTTTTGTGACAGGATCCAGTGGAGAGTAGATGTGGGAGGGAATGACTTTCCCCAGAATATTTGTTGGGCATAGACTTTAAAACAAATATATTGTTTGCACATTACCTGGGCTGCATTAGGCCATGTAATGCAAGAATTCAATAGGACTTCTAATTCAAGTAAAGATCTGCTTGCTTAAGCATAACATTAGTATTCACAGGGTATAACTTTAATGTGGTTTATAACACATGTCAAAATAATTTGAACAAATACAAAGTCCTTTTAGGAAATTAAGATTTCTTATTTATTTGGAGGGAAAACAACAAAACTAAATTACTTCACTACTTACTAGCAAAGTCATTCTTGCTACATTATCTACTTTAAACTCGCATCTCATTCAATTAAGATTTCATACCATTGACAAAATGATACTGTCCTGAAAAAACATTGCAAAAGCTGCTATATACAAGCCCATAAATAAACTGAAAGACTTTCAGATGTCAAAAGACGAGGACAGGAAGAGATTGTTTAAAGATTCATTTGAGCATTTCTTATTCAATACACTTACTGCATTCAGTAACAACAAGCACACATTGAAATCAAACAAAAAGAACAGACGTAGATGGAAATGAGAAATGTTTTTTGTTGGTTTTTACTAGTTTGTCAAAACCAGAAGAAACACCATCCCTAAACTAATGTCATAAATACAGTGTTCTAACTCTTAACCTCAAGTGACATTAACAAGATTTATTGTTTCATTACAAGTAGTGTGCAAATGTTAAAGCCTGGGTCACAGGTTATTCACTGAAGAAAAAGCTGTTGTACTTGCAGTGAATCTCAGTAGATGCAGAGTAATAAATGCTCCCTCAATATAGAATACATCCATGTCACATTCTAAAGTATAAAATAAAAAATTTCATGCTTTACTTATTTTTGGTGATCAATTTTAATATATTATACCTGGATAAAAACATATTTAACCCTTTATACTGGATACTATCACTTGAATATTGCGTGTTATTTTCAAACAGGCCTTGGGCAGTTGCATGTGTGATCAATATGCAGTCAGCATAGGAGGAAATGCATACAACAAATAGGGTGTAGAGAGGAATATACTTTAAGATTTTTTTTAAAAGTTTTTTTTTCTCTGGTTCATTCACAGAACTGTTCATACTACAACACAGTGATTATAAGAGAAGTTATCGCAGAGGGTTTAAAGCTATATCCATGGTCACAGTGTTTTTTAAAAAAATGTGCTCCAGTATCAAAAAATATGCTTATATATGTTGTCTGCACACAATACAGACACTTTGAGCCCTGTTATCACAGTACTGTTCTGTTGGAATCTGCCTCCATGCATTCTTAGGGCTCCTTCTGTTGTATCTTTCGAGGAGGAAAAACAATTTCTCAAGCTAAGAAAAGCAGATATGTTTGCACAGCTGTAAGACATGTTCAATGTCTTAATGTTCAAAGGGCTAGAAAAAAGGCATACACAAAAGCCAAAAGAAAGACATAGCCATTTAGATATTTACTGACCTTTCTTTTTATGGTTAGCTGTCAACAGCTTAAGAATTATTTAGCAACATAGGAAACACAAGATTAGAAGCATATCTATTGTATGAATATATATGTATGATATGCAATGTGTCACATGCTGCCCTGTTAGAATTGTGTAAATTCAGCACATGTTTGGTGAATCTAAACTAATTTCTGTTTCTAGTCACAGATAGACTGAGGTGATCTGTGGATTTTTCACTTTGGTGACAATCCATCAAATCTTGGCCAGGGCGGGGAGAAGGCAAGGGAAATGGAAAAGCTTGGTCCGAACTGAAACTATTATTATTATTATTTCCTTGGGAGAGAAGCATAGAGAAAACTTGTTTTGGATTGATCAAAAATGAAATGATGTTTTCTGAACTTTCAACTCCACTTCCTTCGAATGAAACACTTCATTAAATTCAGTCCTAATACCTCCTGTTCCCTAAACCTCAAACACTTTTTTCTTTTCAGATTTACTATCCAATGAGCAATTTTCACCACATGTATTAGGAGGCAGATACCTTTCCCTTAGAAATCGATTGCAGATGTCTTCCTAGTTTGACTAGGACCAGAGGTGGTTCAGGATGTTAAAGATACAAACCTTAAATTAAAAATACAACTCTTGGAGAGTTTAGGGGCAAATGGAGGAGTGAAGATTTGCTTAACTCTGTCTTTGTTGTGATATTTTTGTAGACATGTGTACTAGCAAAACCAATATAATTGCCTTGGTAATTCCTGTGAAGAGGTATACCAGGGGCCTTAGAGAAACTGCTACTGGAAACAATCAACACCTGTGAATTACAGGAGAAGGCTGCAAAGACCTTCTTGTAAGGCCTTAACTTTGAAAATGGTTTTGGAGGGCTCTTGCTACATTTGTGCCGCAGAGATTTCACCCCCTTGTGCTCCAAATATCTTTCTGAGAGCCTAGAACACAATGATCAAAGGAAAAATTACAGTATTCCCCCCTGACCCTTAAAGATACTTCATAGCAGCATAAAGGAGAAGCTATTAAGTGCTGAGCACAGTTTAAAACCACAAAATACTCAGCAGAGACCTATTTAAAAGATGTCTGTAGGTGGTAATATGTAGACTTATTTGTAATTTGACTGTCTTCACAGTATATAGTTGGCTTATGGTTTTATTTGGAATTCAGTGTCTCAGTCTGAGCTGTAAAAGGAGGAAGGTAAGTCACAGTGCCAGGTTTTGGTTTCCAAAAGTCACTATGTTGTGAAATGCACTTGATGGATGGCTGTTGATTGCACCCAAAAGCTGGGGACAAAGCAGCACGGGTGCTTTGCTCTGTGATACAACTGCAGGCACAACTCTGACAGAAGTACAGCTACAATGTAAAGAAGAATATCTAAAATATTCACAGGCCATGTATACGACTATTATATGTTACATATGCTGTTTATGTGCAGAGACATGTATATCAGCTTTGCTCTTTCCACAGCAAAGAGCTGGGAGCCGAATAGCTGGAACCTCGTTCTTTCTTAAGTTCTGGCTTCCTTGGCATATTTAAATTAATCATCTGTTGGCTCTGTGGATCTGTTGCACTTGAATAATTGGATTCTGTTAGTTATTAAATGTAAACAGAGTGCACAGCAAGACCAGAGTAGCCCCATTACAACATCACAGTGAGAATCATTTCATTTTAGAATATAAAAATCCGTGTTGCCTTTCCTTCGTTCTAGAAGCTGGGAGTGATTCAACCAGCAATAAGCCATTTTACATACCTAGTGTTTTCATCACGACTGACAAAACCATCCAGTGTATATTTGCACTGCTTACTTTTACAGATATCGCTAATAACAAAGTGGTAGATTGTGTTACAGTTTTGAAGGCAAGCAGATGAGGACTTAGTCACTCAACAAAACAATATGCCATTTGCCAATTTATTAGGCAGTGATTAAAAATGGCAGTTTTCTACTGGCTTTAACAGTGAGAAAATACTGATGGACGCTGTGTCAGAAGTCCTTAAAGTATGGCTTGATTTTCTTTTTCTTTTTCCTTTTTCTTTCTCTCCACTGAGAGGCTGTATCACTGTCAGACTGCTGATAAATCAATGCGATTAGCTGAATTAGTGCTCTTATCCCAGGTGTTCAGCTTTGTGGGGTTTGTGCCTGGCCGGTTCCCAGTCATCTAGAAGACAAAATAACATTGGAAGTAGATTAATTTGTTTTGCTAAACTCTTCTTGTCTGGAGTCAACAGTAGCTTTCAGGCTTTTATTTCAACAACTGCTCTGTCAGTCTTGAGGGTATATGCCATAAAGGACTTTTAACAGTTATTGTAGGTTCTAAGGTGATTGGCAGCGATCACTTAATATCTATCATTTCAGAAGACTGGTTCTTTAGATAAACAAATGTTTTTCATCTCAAGAAAATTTGAGGAGAGATAGGAAGACATATGATGCATGCAAGTGTTGATTCAATGTAGAAAGCAGGATTTAGCCCTTTGCTTTCTGAAAAATGTTGTAGCTTGGATATGGTACTTGCTGACCCCTGATAAGTTAGGTACCATGTAAAACCCAGGTGCTTCCTTGGGTCCTGCCCTTTCTAACTGAATTTTCTGTAGAAAACCTTCAAGTACACAGTGTAGGGATGGGATTGCTTACGATGTCTGAGTTGAAGGGCTTCACATTCACGTTGCGAATTGAACTACTGGTGAGGGACCAGACCTTGGTTTTGTGCTTAAAGGCAGCTCTGACCTTAAGAAAAAAAAATAAAAACAAATAGAAAGTATCATTCAATACAATTGTGTTTTCTCAAGTTCAGCCTAGAGTAATTTTCCTGTTATCCTATCTCAATGTTAACCTCACCATACCAAAAACAACAAAAACCCCTGCATTATTTTTATACTTATGATCTCAAGTTGCAGCCTCACTTTTCAAGTAACATGCATTAAATACAAAGTGTTCTACAGTCTCGCTCCTGCCTCACTTCACCAGCAGTATATTCATGTTATCTTAGGGTTATTCATGTTACCAAGGAGATGCAGTATGTCATACCGTGCATGGGGGTAGGTACCCTCTCAAGTCATCAGCCCTATCTACTTATAGTCCTTTATCATATCGAGGTATTTCTTGCCCAGGACCACTAGGAATGAGATTTTGTTTTCCCCAACTACTTGGAAATATTTATGGATTTTGCTTTATAGCAAAAGTTTACCTGAAGCGCTATCAAAGATTTGCATGTCTAGCACACAGGAGAGCCTGTATGAGCTACTCTCCAAAGATGATTTTCACATTAGCTATATATAAACTGGTTGACCAAGATGCAAATTCTGCATCTTTGCAGAAAAAAATGTATGAATTTCATTTTTCATTATTCATGGAAAAATGGCAACCATTCATATATTTGTACTTGATGTTAGCCTAAGCTGCTTGACAGAAGAAACAAGGCTTTCTGAGCCTGGAGGAAAATAGGATAAGGAAATATCTTTCTTCCTTGAGTTGAACCTGCCTGCTTAACTTTAGCTGAGTCCCATCAAGTTCAAGACTTTAACAGCAAGCCCTCACACTGGACTGACTGCAGGAAAGATCCAATTGATACCCTAATATTGGATGGCTTAGGAAACCTTAATAAATAGCAGCTTATGAATGAAAGGACTGTCAGGACCCATGTTCTGTAGAGTGCCAGAGTGCTTCTGATGTGCTGGGAGAAGAAACAGACTATGGAGCAGTGTTATTAGTGTGTGTATATATTATGAGACCTGAGCATATATTCTAAGATACCTGGAAAAAATTAAGGTATGTAGGTTTTCACTGATCTGTGCCTCACTGTCAGCACATTGGAAAAGGCTTTCAGCAGAAGGTTTGATGGATAATGTGTACTTCTGGGCATTTTCTAGTCTAGGGAGGAGAGGATGCTGCCTGCTCGGGGCCTGGCTTTGGCTTCACTCCAGCTGCTCTTAGTGTGCAGAGATTCCTCTTGCTGCCTTGTGAAAGCCTTCCCTTCCTGCCAAGCAAAATACCTGGAATATGTTCTACTCTGTTTGGTTTCTCATAAAGAAATGCATGAGCAATCTTCAAAAGTATGTTTTGCTGAGATTAATATTTATTTTCCTCTCCAGATATAATAATAGCAGAGGCCTAGCAACAGGGGCTGCCAGAGTGAATTCTGCCACAATTTAATCTCTCTTGCTTAGCAGCGTAGCCTGTGCTTGGCCAGGCTCCCTCAACACCAAGGAGCTCTTCTGTCTTTAGTGTGGAGTTCCCATCTGGTCCTGTGCCCCTGCCGTGCACGCGAACCTCCTCTTTCTTATGCTATATAAAATAAATGATAGCTATGTGCAAATATAAAAATAAAACAACTCATTGATGCAAGAAGCAGCGGGGAAGGCAAGTTTTTGTTTTCCACTCTTGAATTTGGTAAAGCTCCTACCTTCTGCATGAATTGTAGAGATAGCTACATAGAAATAACATATGTTACCAAGAAGTTGTGACTGAGGGACAAGGGTAATACACAAATCAGCAGCATTAAACAACAACTCTCTAAATACCAAACATCACTTTCAGATTATTTTAAGGCACTTGCACTGCTACAAAATTTCCAGTCCTGCTTCTACTTTTATTACTACTGCTACTACGAAAATCTCATTCAAGGTATAGATTGAGGGAAACATACCTCTGAATTCAGAAGACAGTGAAACAGGAAGATGAAAAATCCCTGAAAACAGATAGAGAGAAGGATGAAGACTGAAGCTATTCCTTACAGTAATGTATAATATAAAGTAATTGATATAAAAGTATATTTCAAGTAGATGGAGATCTATAAACAAATTCTGTTAAATTGGAGATTGCCACATTTTATAATGAGGCTTGTCTGAACCTTCTCCCGTGAACCTGCACCCCCTAAACCTTAGGATTTTCAAGGAGAAAGGTTGGTTGAAAAGGAGGCCAACTGTTTTCATTAGCTAGAAGGAAACATTCTCTCTGTGTTCCCAAAGATAAAAGCAGGAGAAAGGATCTTTAGGAGTGTTCCTTAAGTTGTGTTGGTCCCAACAACTTTGGTTTTCACTTAGTCTCAGGCCTCAAACAGACAGTGTAGGTTAAAATTCATTCTTCCAGCAGCACTTCCTGAGCTTATGTCTCATTTTATTATTGCTACTGAAAACACTAAGGAGGGGAACAAAACTCTGTTCAAAGAGACTAACCATTGGCTGTCCTGTATTTTCATCACAGACTGAAAAGACACATGAGAGAACATTGGAAAAATCCAATAAATACGAGCATGTGGAAACATTTCTAATGATCCATTTTCTGGGTCTCAGCAGCAGTTTGGTAGCTGTATACTTTCATAGCAGGTACTTACTTGTAGTGAATTGAATACAGCAAACATATACTGAAATACTAGTGCATGGTCATTGACACTTAGAACACCAAAGATCCATGAGCTTCCCAGGATGGGTAACAGTACAGCAACTGCTTTGGCAGTTAGTCTGAAAGAGAAAACAAAGACAGGAAATATGATGAAAAAGGCAAATTTCAGGCAATATAGCACACAGCTTCCTTATCAATTATTTCCTGGCACCAAGTCAGTGCATGGTGTGCCTATAAATGTAAGCAGGAGGTTGATAAAAAAGCATGGTGGCTTTAATTACAATTGAGTAAGTCAGTGATGCTCTTTCCCATAAACACCACATAATTTTATAGTAAAATCTTTGTTTCATATTCTTCATCTACAAAAATGGGGATAACAGAACTTTGCTGTTAAATGGGATAACTACAGATCGAGACAGTCAGTAACCAGGGTAGTGGGGAAGGAGCAGGAAAGTTGCTCATGTATCTTTAGCTGGTATCAAAGTATAATAAATTCTTCACTAAAGCATAACAATGAGAGGGTAGAAAGTCAAGGGCAGAAGCAGAGAACAAAGGGACTGTTGCATGGAAAAAAATGAAAACCACTATACAGTGTGTGCAAAATATATTTGCTTAGTGCAATAATTGGGTCAAGGCAATGTGGTATTTCTGTTAAAGTGACTAGGGATCTTTAATCAGTGAAAATAGGAAGAAACTTGGTCTACTCCTATTGCCAAATGCAGGTCCTCTAACACCACATTATTATTCTGCTACCACTGTGCTTTTTCAAAGTTGATTCAGAGAAAAGTCTGCCAGCTCCTGAAGTGACTTGTGTGTCTTGGAGGTCCTTCCTGATATATGTTCACTCTGTTCAGCTTGCAGTACTGGCAGAATTTCAGTTAAGTGATATGACAACTGAAAAGCTAATAGTATTGCGAAAATCCTGTATCTGTCATTATGAGGTATGTGCAGGGTGCTTGTTGCAGTGGAAAAGAAATTTCAGTATTGTACTAGGAAATTAGATGATCAGTTTTCTACAACAATTGAATTCTGTGGATCAAATTCTATACAAAAAGTAAAAGAAGAAAACCATAGAGAAAACAAAGGAAATTTATTTAGAAAAAAGTGAAAAAATGTAGCTTACATATCTCCATAGCTTTCTACATTAAAGACCCAAGGAACTATGAACCTCTTATAGAAGATGCATCTCCTTTGTCTAAGGAATTAAGAGCACCTGAATGTCAGTGAAAGCACCCTGGATGCTGGACAATAGTTACTGATAGGTGTTGGGTCCATTTCCTGCTTTTATTTAAATAATGATGATTTCTGCAACTGAAATACCAATCAACCACTTTCTTGAAAGGCAGGCAAGTCGGACAAAATTTATCTTGGAGATTATTGTTTATCTTACACAACTATCTTATGGAATCCTCAGGGCATTTTTCTCTTTACTGTCTTGAAAGATCTTTCTTGTACTGCTGAATAGTACTAAAGAATTGTACTTTTGTGTGTGCTTACACCCTGTAGCGTTGACTGCAATAGTATTGTAGTAATAGTCCTATAGAGTGTCATTAGCGTAATCGTAGGAAAAAATATATGAAGGCAATATGTTTACATTGTGGAAGTCTTTGGCTTGGGATGTTTTGAAGATGTAAAAAGGGGTTCACTAGAGTCGTGGAAGACAGTTCTACTATGGTCTGTTAAATGTGACAATCCAGGTGCATTCACTGATGCCTAAAGTCCCAGCTTTCAGGTTGAGTAGGTATTTGGACAAGAATAAATCTGCATGGCCTTTTACATTAAGGATACTGGGCCAGATGGACCAGTTCTTTTGTACTTAGCCTAATCCATCTGTTTTTTGATTAAAGCAATGAAAGCTTCACTGGTTCATTTTTTCACATCAGTTTGACCTGGTAAAGGCAGGAATAAGAGAACTGGGACAGGTGGCCAAGAGATGGAGATGACATTACAAAGTTATCGCTCGCTCTCTCCCAGTAAGTGATCCTGGCTGCACACAGAGCTCACAATGGACAAGGAGAAAGCATCTGGGGTGTCTGTCCATCCAGTTACCACCTACAGCATCCCAGGAATCCCACAGGGCAAAATGCTTGTGCTGTCAAAAGGCCACTGACTAGGGAGCCTGGGGCAATTTTGCCTGTCAAAACTGAATAGATGTTGATGCTTTGCACACACGGGCATCACGTTTTCAGTGACAGATTGCAAAGGACAAACTTGTCCTCTTTGGCAGCTGAGAATAGCACTGGTGAAACAAAACAGGAAGCAGAAGGAAGGGAGCTGCCCCTGCCTAGAGACATCCCAAATCTGCAAGCCAGGTAGATATAATCCCTGTTACATAAATGTATGCCGACCTCTGGCTGAGCCTGCAGGATTTAAGCACGTAATTACACTTAAATCTATGCTTAAACTATTTCAGTGAATTCTGTCTTATGGTACAACTGGAGATAAAAAAGCCAAGAGGGCAGTAAAGGGACCGTAGGTAGCGCAAAACTGAAGGACAGACCATGCTTGCAAGAACTGTATTTCTCGGAAACACGGATCTCTCTTTTTGAGCAGGAAACTATACAAGAAATAAAGCTGTCCTAAGGAGACTAATGTCTCACTTGTTCCTCTTACCCTCTCATCTGGGATAAAGTACAGGTAGAGAAGAGACAGAGACCACTATAATTACAGCAAACTTGAGGCAAATGAGGTTGTTGTACGATATAATTCAACAACAACAAAACATATTAAATAAATACTTCGATCCAAGACATTGTGTTCTTTTCAGCGACCTAAGCACACAGTTCATTATACCCTTGATTAAAAGTGTTTGTTGAAATACTGCATAGTCTTCAGGTTTATTGGAAAATCTGTGACAGGGAAGACAGCTGGAGTCAGGGTTCCCTTGCCCCCAGGTTGATAAGTGACTTAATGTCCCTTGACCATGCATATTTTTACACAATTTAATTCTACAAAGGATTTGTTTAACCAGAATATGAAGAAATAAAGCTTGAGTGCTGTTATTGAGTTATAATATATATTTAAAAGGTTACCATTCTAGAGCAACTAAGTGATACCAATTTACTTTCATGAATCGAGGACAGTAGGTCTTTTTGGTTTTGTTCTTTTTCCTATTAAGATGGAAGTGGTTGTTCTCATCTGTAATTGTAAGGCGGATATTGTCCTTGGGAGCCCTCAGCAGAGCAGATCTGACACTGTGCTCTGTGCCTGGGGACCTGTACAGAGCCCGAGGGGCTCCAGGAAAATCCATCAGGGCAGGATGGGGAAGGACCCACGGACCCACTGCAGATGGATTAGGTACATCCAGTTTACATGATGGTCAGGACGGTCCCTCTAGCCTCACACAACCTGCGATTGGTATCCCAGAGAGAATTGTGTAAATCCTCCTTCCCCTCCTCTTCTCTTGATCTCACACACTCTCAATTTCCAGAGACCTTGAAGCTTGGAATATTATTTTCCCTAGATGGTTTGTTGCCAAAAATAAGCTTTAACTATGTTTTCAAATCTCAGTGAAGAAGCTTTGTAGCTTGTGATCTTGGACAGAAAGGGGTTAGATATTTAATTTCAATGTTTTAAAAATCTTCCTTACTGTTTACATTACCAAAAAAAAAAAAAAAGTCTTAATGAAGACAATTAATTTTTAAACACAGGGTCCACAGCATATACAGCAGAAATGCACAGCTAAAAATGAAGACAAAATAGAGATGCATGGGATTTTTCTTGCACCTTTGTGTGCCTCTTTAAGTGCACATCCATCTAAAAGAGAACCCAGATGGGGGTGAAATTCCCTTCAGACAACTAGGGGTCAACTCTGTGTATCACTTAAATTCCATTATGCCTTCTTTTGCTTAATTATTCCATGGCTTTTTATGCCTGCCTGCTGTGAGCTTCACCCTATGTTTGAAATTATTGCTTCAAGGTGTTTATGAGCTCTCTGCACTGAGCAGAGGACTCGGCTCTCTTGTTTCCTTGTCCTTTTATTTTCTTCCATTTACCCCCTTCCTTTCCCTTCCCTTCCTCATTTCATTTTTGTCTTGAACTTTGGAGAAGAAAAAAAAAAAAGGAAAATATTAAATATAAAATGCTATGTCAGAGCACCATTAACGATGGTTAAAATTCACACACAAAAAACCCCTTAGAAATACAAAAGTTAATGTTCCATTAGGCACATTAATTCCACCACACTGCATATCATACTTTTTTTTTATTTTCACATTTTTGCTGCTTGAATATTTTGGTTGATTAGTTACAGTACACCAATGTGCAGAAAGGAATCAAGTACATGTTGCTTTGGGATAAGAAATGCAGATGACTTTGTGACCCTTAAACCCAAGGGTTGATAGTGACATTTTTGCTGTCAATGATATTGGTGTCACAATGAATAATGCTTCTGGGCAGGGGCAGCTCTGGAGATAGTGAGGCCAGTGTGGTCCCCACCAGAACTTTCCAAACCTTGCTAAAATGTTTGTGTCCTTCTGTTCTCATATAACAGAAAACAGGGGGAAAAAATGGCCATTTCCTTGTAGAGGGCCCTGTAAACATCTCCTGTATACTTGTTTTTGTGCTCTGGCTTTTGGAATGGGAAGCAACCCCGCAGCCCATTTTACATCCACTCTGTTGGATGTTTACATCCAACACTGCTACTCCTCTGCATCCTAATAGCATTAAGTTCTGTGCCTTACTGCTGTACACTGAATTATCAGACCCGGAATGAATGAAAAGCATCTCCTTTCTATTGTTTCTTTTTGCCATATTTAAGTATGTACTTATTACTTTAGAATACAGGCAACTTCTGGAAATATGCTATCTCAAGTCTCACTGAATCCTCATATTCTGTGTATGCTCCTGCTTGTGCAGATGGGTTGAACTAGGTGATAACCAAAGGTCCCTTCCAACCCGTGTGATTCCGTGATCACTCTGTATATGGAATACACAGCCTTTGAGATAGTATTGGGTGTAGGTATCAATTCAGACTGCAGCTAGGGCTGTTTCTCACTCTACCCCAGTGACAGCAGCAATGAGTTGATACCGCACAGTGGCAAAATCCCACTGTCAGATGTGCCCAGGCTGCTCCATACACCCATTACTGTTCCTTAGAAGTGTGTAGTCCTGCTTCAGT